GTTCGGAGACCCCGGCCACCCATATAAACCACACGTCTCCGATCCCGGAGTCCCCAGCAGGAAGTGGTTAAACATAATGAACAGAAACATTCAACTTAAATTAGACACTCTCGTGGTTTTCCTTAGTAACAGAGGCTTTCTAGTCAAGTCAGTTGGCCTCAAAATATTTCCAAATATTTCCACCCTCGGCACATGGAATGGGCCATTAGGCATTTTTGCATTGCACAACGTAATACACCTTTTTGCAGAGCGGGTCACAAATGTTATATGACTAGCTCTCAGTCAGTGAGAATACAAAGTCTGTGGGTGAGGTGTTATCGTTCAAAACATCCCCCCCCCATTGTCCGGACAAACACCAAAACCTCTCCCGTGGTTAGACTATCACGATTTTAGACCTGAATACAGATGTCATTAACGTCTTCTCTTTTTTTATCATGTTGCGTGTGAACCTAATCAGGCACTCTTGGAGCAAGCCAGAGCCAACAAAAGTGAGAACGCCCTGTGGTGATCGTGGCAGGAGGAGGGTCTGGGCGGGTGGGGCGAGCAGGAGGGTGTGGTTCGAATCCCACCCCAAACCACTACAGGATCAAGGAGATCCTTGGATGCAAGGAATATGTGCGTCTTGCAGACATGTTGGCTACTTTCTGCCACATTGGCCACTTTCTGTAGGAGGGAAAAAATGGATCCCTTTTTTTCTTGATCAAGAATTGATTACAGCAGCTTTTAAAATCAATGCCATGGCTTTTCTAAACAGAAGACCATGCAGTTTCTGAATAGACACCATAGCTTCTGCTATGAAGCCTTTTGTTTTCAATTGAAGCCCGTGGTTTCTGAATAAAAGCCTTTTTTTAATGAGGCTCACAGCAGATGTTTAAACCTAAACCCTAAGGGTATAAGAAAACTTCAATTAAAAACTGCAGGATTGAGGACTCATAGGTGTAAACCGTGACTGCTGAGATGAGTATCAAATTACTCAAACTCAGTCATTAACTTCCTTCCTCAATTGCATTCTTGAGCAAATTCAAGAGCAAACAATACTTTTACCATGAAGTCAGTCAGTGCTTGTTTGTGTGTTTACATAACACACTCCTGCTTGTGAGACCATAATTGTTGGCCCATTGACGTGAGCACAATTTCAGGACAAAAGTAATTTGAATATTTTTATCAATATAACATTCCTTTTAACATTTCGAAGTTTGGTGTGTCCAGTGAATCTTTTAGTTTTCTCAAGTTTGTAAATAACATATATGATTCTAAACTAAAGAGGTATATCTTTTCTTCGGGGGTTTTGTACACGCTCTTAAATTGCAGTTGGATAGGTTTTTAAAATTTATTTTTAATTTCTTTTGTTTTTAGATTTCTTCAGATCTTTGTATTCTCTGTATTGTGAGTTTTGATGATTTTGAAGCAACAATTCCTCACCTTAGAGAGGGGGCAGAGCTGTGATGTATTCTTGGCAGGAGGGGCCTGATCTCACAGCCCTGCCTATTATTAAAAGGAACATGCTTAGTACATGTAGATATGAACATTCATCAGATTGGTTAGTCTGGTTCCCCAACCAAAGATACCCTGACGTCACTTGATAAAGGTTTTGGTCAGGTACCAAGGTCAAGGGTCACAAGGAAAGCCCTAGGTGGATCCTATGGTCAGATGTACATGTACATGCAGGCTGTTAATGTTGGTGGTCACTTTGAAAACTTGCAAGAAACTCCAAAAAATGCATATAGGAATGGAGCAACATTGAGTTGCATGTAGGCAACATTGAAAAGAAAAAAACATGTCTCATTTTGCATACAGACACAGCCGGAAATACCCAAACATCAACAATGCTATTTGCATGTGGACTGAATGAATCCGGAATATTTCGGCTATTTTCGGAAACTGGAGGAATTCCTCCATTTTTTGGTCACTTAGACATTGGGTGATACTGGACCCTTGATTCGACAAACATAGTCGGAGTCATCAGGTCTGGTATTCAGACTACGGATTGGTGAGCTTTTGGGTACATTTACTCGCATCTAATTGGAACATTTCATTAAAGGAACCCAAGAAAACCAAATGAGATTCTTTCCTTTTTAGGGTTTTATTTGTCTTGTACAAGAACATTGTACAGTGTATAATGTGCATGTACATTTTGATTTTATGCTGTTTATTTGAAGAAAGATTTTTATCATTAAATCTAGAAATGGTGATGGAATCTTGGTTGTTGATGCTAGTCACTTTAAATTAATCCCCATTTAATTCACAAAGTAGCTGCTCTTCATGGGAAATAACATTTTCATGGAATAACCTCTCCCACAAAAGGGTAAAAAATTAGCAAGCCGCTCCAAAGCAAAATATAATGTCACCCTGGGGTATTTTGTAAATTGCTAAGCCTGTAAGTATTATTTCCCTATTTGGTGAGCGGCCTCGATGAGTTGATAACTTGGAATGTTTTCCGTTTGATGAGTTGAAATCTGCTCTGTAAAATAAGAGGCTTTCTGTGGAGCTACCTGATTGCCGTCTTTAGTTTTGGCCAACCACCAAAAAGCATCCACTTGTTTGCTTTATAGCGGATTGTCCTGATACTGCCCTCTTGAGGCAACAGAATATCACACACGTCCAACGTCTTGAACCAAGACTATGCTGGGCATTGTACAAGGAACAAAAAGGGAAGCACCATTCCTTGTATTGAACTCCAGTAGACTTCTATCCTGAAAACGCCTCACTTTGCATATGTGTGCTTTCCTGGGTTGCTCATTGGACCGTGGGCTCTCACTGGCTCCATAGGACAGCGCTCCTGTATTAAAGTCACGTTATCAGACACATACGCCTGTATATGTATGCCCACTGGGAAACAGTGAAAATAAACAAGATATGCCTTTTTTAATGCCCTATTTTCCTGTTGAAATGTATTGTGGACATAATATACTTAGTAAATGCATTTATGTGCAGGGCCACCGTAATATTACTGGAGTTATATTGAATTTCCTTTTATGAAAACTGAGAGATACAATTTGAGTTTTGCCGTATTTCTGTTAATGTTAATCCCTAAAATGTCGGGTTTTGTCGGTTCTCAACTTTTTCTTGGATCTTATAATAAACAAAAGTATTTCAACATGCTTGGGCATTCAGCCAAAAGGCATCATGATTTCCAGTAAAGTCCGCATTTCAATTTTAAAATACCTTTAACGTTTTATGTTTTGATGACAACTTAAAAAGTCTGAATTTACCTGATGAAGCATTCTAAAATGTCTGAATATTTTTAGGATGTTTTTGCATGACGTCACTTTTTGTTCAGTAGTTTTTCTTTTTCTGGGGATTCCACAAATCTAAATTAACACTGTATCATGTAAGTTTTTTTTTTGCAGACCACCTTACTGCTTTGCGGAAAACGGAAACTTGCCTCTGACAATTTCAACATATCTTCCTCCAAACGGTTATTGCTCAATGACTTAAGGACCAAAATGTGGAGTTAAAATGTAATAAAAATGGAAGGTGAACCACTTACTCTCATTTGTATAAGATTCAATGAAAAGTACAGATACAGATTTTAGCAGACTGTCATCCATTTCATGCATGCCTCGCGATCAAGGAAACAGAAAACAAATATGAGTGTGAGATGCGTGCTTGTGATGTGAGACGCAACAGATAAAACCAAGACTTCAAAGAACACGCCACATACTCAGCATCCGGTTCAGATCAAAGCAATCTTTACCACTTCAGATCAAAGTGATATTTTATTTCTTGATTAACAAACTAAACAAAGACCCATGTGCAATCACAACATTCAATGACAATTGAAATTAAACATAGAAACTGAGATGCTGTTTGATCAAATCTACTCTGAGCTGTCATGAATTTCACGTTCCAATAAGCTGCCTTTTCTGATGTAACGGTAAGTATTATTTGGCTAGTTTCTGCAAAGAACGCAAGCAACAGTGTCAGGCGACCAGCATCTCAGAAACTGACACGCACCTTCGATTAAACAAAAAAATGAAAATGCAACAGAGAGAAACATTAACTTTTACTGGAATCATGCAAAACCATGTGCCTCTAAGAGTGCATAGATGTGGTGTCAGGAATGAGAAATACGCATAATTATAAAAATTTGCTGAAGCTGATCAAACAGGTTCCTTGTCCTTTGCATAACTGTGATTTCAGGTGCCATGTCACGTTGGCACTTGAAAAATTTCAGATATCAGAGAAAAAAAAGCTTGTAACCAAATACATATATTTTACATTTGAATAACTACTGCAAAGTGTCAGAATGATAAATGTCTAGTGCCTCAATACTTAACAAAATCCCTGGACCCAAAAACACCAAGATATGATTAAAAGCTTTTTAAAAATGCAATGCAAATTTCACTCCCACTTGAATTCATACTTATGTGACATAAAATATAAACCAGTTGATATATGCTATCTACATGTTTCAGTTTCTGTGCATTGTCATCCTTTTGAAGGCTTTATGGTAAAATGACTTATTCGGGAAGGAAATCTACACAGAATATCAACAGGGGTGATTAATTAATGTCACTTTTTTAAAACCTTACAGGGGGGGGGGTTTACACCATGTCTGGGTCCAAGCCATGCCATGGCCACAAGTGTATAAAGCCACATGTCTCAACACCTGACCATAAAATTCCTGTATTGGCACGAGTCAGCTACATGTGGACTTGTTAAATTCTGCAACCCCTCTCGTACCCGATATCTTTTTAAGGCACTGTGTTTTTTCACACAAGAACATGGTCTAACTTAAGTTTACTAACTGTATCAGCCATGCCTTGGACTTTATCAAATGACCTCCCCTCCACAGGCAAGTATCACAGACACCTGAATCTCCCTGCTACAGTGCCGTGGCCCAATGCGAAGGCGCTACTGTGCACATTCCGATGAAAATGTCGCTATGTAATCTACCAGGCACGTGCACAAATCAATGAACACACCATAAGCGACATGTTCTTCACTACAGTAGCCCAAAAGAGTAGGAAGGCACGGTCACACACTGGTCCTTCTTAAACACAGTTAGAATCTCTCCTGAAAGGTGGTTATGCTTTCAGTCTTGGCTTTTTTGGCACATAAATGTGACCTTTCTTGTCACAGAATGGTCTCAATAATTTTCGTATTATACATAAGAACTTTTCAATTACAAATCTAAACTTTTCCCCCACATTGTAAAATATCCACATCAATACAAAACATCACATTAGGGCTTTTTTCCTTCCAAAATACGGTACAATGTCAATTAATTACTGTGGCTTTTATATGGAGAACCTGATAGTCTCGCATGTCGGACATAAACGAAGGAAAAAAGAAATCTGGTGAAACATGACTTTATAAATATACAATACGTTTTACACATCACAACCATCACCCAAGGAAGATAGAAATATATAATTTGTAATCTGTTACAAATACAATATGGCTGCATCCGAATCTCTTGTCTAGAAGCTAGGTCTTGGTATTCACTCCATTGGAAATGCATGGAGACGCGCAGACAATACCCTAGCCGTAGCTCTAGAAGCCCGTTTTGGACACGGCCTATGATTACTGTACTACACACACAAACCGTCAAAGAAAACAATGTGTAGATTACAACTACATGTACGGCATGTACATGTCTGTGGTCAGGATGGTGGAGTGTGAACCACACTTACAATGACTAACAAGACTGAATCCAACACGTCGGCTGGGTAACAGCCCCTGAAACACAAAGTGATATCAGGCAGCCGGAACCACTGTACAAGGACAAGGTTAAATCTATGCTATCACGAGACAAACATTCCAAAACCAAACAAAAAACTGAGTGCATAGATAGTACGCCCTTTGCCAGTTTGTTACCATAATCTAACACCGTGTTTGATTTGGTCTGTCATCTGTCGAGGTCTCATTGACATGAGTGTCAAGCAAACGACAGTTCACAGATATTCTGGTTATGCAGTGCCATCATGGTTGCTGCTAGGACAGCATCCACTCACAGCATGTGCACATGCTTACAGGTATTCCTTTCTTTCTGTGTACTTTGAGAAAACTCAGTGGAATTACTTATTTTTCTTAAAGTGCAAAAAATCTTTCAAGCTGGATTTTTGATGGTTTCCTTTACTGTTCTTTTGCTATCGGTACAATACCCGCGACTCCAAAAATGTCTCTGAACCCGTTTCTTCAGGGAGGAGAAAACCGTGCGGGGACCTGCCTTGGTCCACACGAGGTTTGTGTAACCTCCATAATGAACTCCCGTTATGTTCTCAGGTCTACACAAAGATGGCAAGGTTGGCACACACTTATCTAACCCCGTCAAACTCATACAAGCTGCCCTCAGTGAGCTTCTGTGTCTTTTGTATCTGTTCACATACATGTGATACCAGTGCGTCCGCGTACATGTACTGTACAATGTTTGCTGCTGGGCATAGATGTGTACCGGTACACAGACGATTTAGAGTGGCTACGATTCTTGCCACTGACCCACCAGAGTGAGTTAGCCGCAGCTGCAAACAGCAAAATGGCCGTGAAGGAGGACACGGCTTGCCACTGATGATACTAGGACAGGCATAAAATGTCAGAGTAAACAAATAAATTTACAGCCGTTCATGATTCTACCTACAGGTACATGCAAATAACAAAACAGAATTTGTCCAATTACGCAGCACCATGTGAACAATGCATGCAGATTTGGCAATGAGTACAGGGTATACGTAAGCATTTAATGAGCGCTATAATTTCTTAATTATGGTAACTACAATGCCGACACTGTGCTTTCCCTGGTGTTTTTAAATTATGTCTATTTTTTTTTATGTTTTGCCATTTCTTATTTGTAAGAAGAGCTCACTTTGATCACTTCTAAAGTTGGGCGAACTCTTGGAATGTGTATGCGACCGACTTACCGTCAGGAATTCTCTGTACAAGAACAAAGTGAAAGTTCACAAACATGGCAAAGTTGTTAAATGTTAACATTTCCACACACAAGATTTGGTCCTGTTTAAACATTCATAAAATGAGCATGTCCTTCAAAAGTCTCTCTAAACTATTTGTTCTAAATTAAGAACACTGATTGTCTGAAAGCATAGGTAAATAAATAATGCGTTAAAGGCATATTGTTTTCCATCTCTCAGCTTGAATTTCAACCTTTTTCAAACAGACAATTCTGCTCTAGACCTACCTGAAGCTAGTACTCATTAGGAACTTGCGTAGACTCTGTATAAATAGGGAAAATTCATCAGCGTGTTCTTGAATAACTCTTCCCCCAATTAGAATTGTGGATCACAAAAATCAAAGCACCGGGCAATCAAAAACTTCATGAAAATACTTGGAAAAAGTTTGCATTTCAAAGGTGTAGGCACTATTTGGATATGAAAAATGCATACCTCAAACAATTTTATTCTGTACATAAAATCAGTCACAGTTGCCCGAAATGAGTGTTATTCTTGCATACTGTGCTCCAAATTCTTTTTTACAAAAACCACACACCTTTGTATTCACAATACAGTTAGTTTTGAAATTCATTGCTACAAGTGGAAATTTCTTGTCTGGAAAAACTTCCTGGGATCAACACGATCTCCCACAATTGTTTCCGTTTACATACTAGACAAAAAGTTAATGTATGTAATTTCTGGTTTGTCACAGCCATTTGGAGAGCAAACATGTAATTCCAGAAATAAGGGGTCCAGGTTTTTCGTGTCCCTGTTACATGCAAAGTTCAGAACAGACTTTCTAATTTCCAACAGTGGTGAATTAATGCAAATTACCTGCCAAACAAATAGTAATAGTTTGAAATCAATTCCGGTGATATTTCCATGTCAAATAACAAAGGTCATATGGGACACAAAAATGTCACACTTTTGGACCCCTAATTTCTAGAATTACCTAAATGAGATTGGCTCTACTGCAAACCTAACGTTATGTACATGACTTCCGCTCGCACATCATTAACCAACTAGAAGGAGTCTTGCAGACACTATTACGGGTGAGAGATGTGCCCCTGATACTTCAGGAATACTCACACTGATTGGTCAAAAATCATATTAGTACTTGTCTCCTAGAAGAGAAACGCTCCTTTCTTTTGCATATGGCAGGTCAGTTTAGTATGTACATGATCCCTAAATGAGAATAATAAATGTGTCTGATTGGATAAAAGTCTCTATATTACGTGATATCTTCTCTCGACAAACCAATCCTAGTAGCCCTCCTGTACAAGCCAGGGCAGTAAAAGCTCTTCTGGTAGAACACACCTGATTGGACAGTAACTCCAGACCAAGCCAAATCCCAAAGAAGTTGACAAATCCTCACAGGCTGTCTAAGAGCTGCTGGTAGTTTGTAGCCTGGCCAAGCTGTCTGGCCAGCTTGTTGGTCTTGAACATGATCGGGCAGTCCAGGGAGACACAGCTGGCCGAGTCTTGGTCTCTGAAGTTGCAGCAGCTGGCGCAAATCTGAAAAAAGAAGCAAATCCACAAAAGGATAGGTATAGGATTTTTCCTATACAATAGTTGCTGTCAAACAAGCAAAATAATGGGGCAAAGTAACATAACTGTCATACAGAGTTGAAAGCCTAAATTATTGCACAGGAAATTCTCATAGTAAAAACCAGCAGAGTGCCAGTCACGGGTACATGTAACACACACTGCACCACACTGTCATTGGTAACCTCCTTTGCCTATGAATAGTACTACCCTGTAGTATTCATTCACAAAAAGATATTATTATCCCAACCCCAAATACACCCCTCAAGCAGGCAAGCGAATCAATGGGGTAAAAAAAAGAACTCCAAATTTGGCTTCTTAGTTAATTTTGGACCAACCAGTGCATCTTCTTCAATGCAAATACACAGGCCCCTTGAATCCTGGGCATCTCAGAATTATTTTTTCTGATTATTTTTCTAATCACAGTTACTTCAGTGATAACAATTTTATCAGAAAGAGGGCCATGTCAGAGGATGCAATTAAATTAAGGTACAAGTTACTTCCAAAAGGAGTTGGGCCCGTTTTCTGTCTCAGTGGAGTGGTGAACAAAAACTTGCTGTCGGCAAGAAAAACATAAAGGTAACTGACATTTCTCTGGTTGTGTGGTGATTGTGTGAAAAGTAAATGATGTTAATGTGTTTTTTTTTACAATGCCACCGCAACAATTTTGAGGCTGGAAGGAAAAAATACAGTTAAAGAATGGTTGACATACATATATGAATTGATTGATTCATTCAGCAAAAATAAACTGTCAGTGAACCTGTTATCTTAAATACATAAAGTGACCTCAACCACTTCCTGTCGGGGACTCCGGTACCGGACACGTATGCTTTATATGCGTGGCCGGGGTTTCCGAACTCGGACAAAGGGAACAGGGCCTTGTAACAAAAGACTGTACCAGGCAGCTGGGCCTTACCAACATTTTTTCACTTTCAAAAGAGGAGATAATCCAGCCTTGTTTTGAAACAGTATACCACAGTTAGGGACATTTAGAGCGAGTGGATTACTACCACGGACAAAAGCGCTCCACCACCGCAGCATTGAGCCACACAGCACTGCTGCACGCTAATCTGGCCCCTATTGAAAAGAGGTCAGCAGCGCACTGAGCCAGGTTCGTGAACAAAAGAAAGTTATATAACACCGCACAATCTGGGCTCTGTTTACAAGGCTGCACGCCCGGCTGAAATACTCAGACGTCAATAGATTTTGTCTGTCAGGCTAGAGGGGCCACCAGACAGTCCTTTGTTTGGATGAAAGGGTCAAGTAAATGAAGATAGGAATTTCTAAAGCATTTTGAAAACAGAAAAAAATGATAAATATCCTGCCTCAGCATCATCCACATTGATAAATGCCACTGGCAGCAAGTGGTTAAGGCCGGTCCATACTTTAGTGAAACCAATGTGAGGTTACGAAACTTTTGCATGGAGTTTTCCTTGAATTGGAACATGGCAACTTTTATGCATTCACAGCATGTACATTTGATCTGAAGTCACAAAATCAGGTTTGTGTTCGCTCTTGCTCCAAGTACATGTATAAGCTGGCCTTTTAGCATGGAGATTTGATCCAACCATTGGCAGGAAGGCAGGCTTTGGAAAAAACACAATGACCCATTCTGCAAGGTTTTGCAAAGAATTCCTAATCCCCAAGTGATGAGCAGCTACCAACCTTGGCCATGCCCTGCTGGACCAACTGCCACTGTTGCACCTGACTCATGAGGGCGGTAGCCGTGACCTGACCTTTGGCCTTGCAGTCGCTGCACAGGGTCTCCTTGGTTACCTTCTCGCAGACCACGCAGTTGAGGCTAGCAAAGTACTGTGAGATGGTGCCCTGGGGAGCAGGAAGACAAAGCAGGTTCTTGAAAGAGTCCTCGCAGGTACCGGGTACAAGTGTTGAAATTGGGGCATTTTTTGAGAACTTGCATAAGTGTATAAGTAGAGGACATCAGATTCAAGTCGAAGGTTTAGGAGAAAACCAGGTGCTTTGGTCTGAATGTACAAAAACATTCAAGCTGTATATCCAATCTAAAATACAACCAAAAATCAACAAGGACAGTCAACTTGAATGCTCTTACATGTAAGTATTACAATTTTTGAGTGTTGGGCACTGCTATGCGGCACCCTAAATAATCTTTTTATTCACGTATGGGCCGGTAGGGAATGTTCTTTGAGGAATTTCTTTCGTTTCAAAAAATTTTCAAAACTGTCTGAAATTTTCCAAACCCATTCTCATTGATTCATTTGGGGAAAAAAAAAAGACGTACAAATTGCCTTGTAATATCACGCACATCTTGCAATAGTCAGTGATGGCTACCAGACATTTAATATCTACTGCACATCAAGGGAATAGCCAAGTCAGGGAACCAGACTTAGATGGTAACTGACCTTCTTCCCCGGTGTCCCCGGCTGGTGGTGCACGCTGACCCTATGCCACCTGGGCAGCTCCTGGTACCACTGCATGGTGTCCACCCCTAGCAGACAGAAGACCCGGTTGAGGGTGGGTACCAGCTGGCGTGTCAGGTAGTAGGTGGTATTCAGCCGCAGGCCAGGATCCTGCCATTGGGAGGAAAACAAGACGATGAGGAGGAAACAACTGTGTATAATACGACCAAGTGAAACCCAACAAAAGAAACAGAGGTTTAGCACCTTTTTTTGAAAACCGGGACCATCCGTCAAGTTCTTGTCCAGGGCCTCCAACAAGGTCAGAGAAGCCGATACCTTAAGAAGGCCAGGAATTAGCCCAACATTTTGAATGAACAGGCTTGGAATCAGGCTTTTGACTGAAAGAAACTGGCATCCCTGGACTGAGGTGAACCTTACAGCAGCGCACCTTGCTCTTTCGTTCAAACCACCAAATGCTCAGTCCAAGCAGACTGTCAGCTTATCATCATGTGCACCTCTGAAAAAGATAATTCTACAAATTATAACAAAACCCAAAGTAAAGTTTTGCCTACGCAATTCCTTGACAACGGTTGCTTTACAAGATAATATTGTCCAGTGTCAAGGTATTCGTATGTTGCCAAAATATTTCTTTGGGGGAGGGTATGGACTTTTTGTAACATGCAACTGTTCCCTGAAGGTTCTACTTCCCCTCAAGCAGCGGCTGTGTCATAATCTGCAATAATCAAGCTGGCAAAATATAAATCTGGCAATCTCTCTGTTTTTTTTTGGGGGGGGGGCCAATTATCAGACATCCAGGTATCCTCTCGTAGCCCTAAATCAAGGTTTTTCCATTTTTCTTTACCTGTAAGACTTGGTTGGGGGTGCGTACAAGCTGGATTAGGGGCAAGCCTGGGCTTCCATGTACGATGACGTAGGGGACACGTTGACCAACGCGAGGCTCAGCTCGGCGATCCACTGAAAGGAGCCGCCTGATGATGCAAGGCGGAGAATGAAAAAATGATGGCACTAGATAAGAAAGCAAAGTCTATTTAACTGCCGTTCAGCACTTGAGAAGATGAAGCCCTATTGTCTTTCTGTGGGAAGGGGGAGGGGCAAAGTGGCAATGGAAGGAGTGGGAAGTAGTCTCAATGACCAATGTGCATGGAGTACATTTCAGTTTTTGAAAGATCTGCACTAATGAAGCGATCTGAAGTTGTAAAAATGTCTTCCGATAAACCCCAAAATGGGCTGCCTTTTGGCCTTCTCACCACTGGAAGGAGGGGAGACATACTTTGCATTTCCAAAAACCTTGGTTTGGGAATCTTGACCAACCTTTTTTCAAACCCAGCATATATATATGGGCATCCCTCGTGAGTACATCACTGAAGTCTCAATAAACGGCCAGAGTTTTTTGTTGTTACGGTCACTTATAGGTCACATTTTTCACACCTGTTAACCAGTCCGCTGGGCGCGTGTCAACGGGAAAAGTTAATAACGTTTTTTACCAACCTGTCTTGACAAAATAAACTTTTCTCAAACGGACATGCATGATTATCCCAAAATTGGCGTCAAAGTGAACACAAGACATCAGTGAAATAACTCCTGAAGGCTTGCCACAATCAAACAAATGCATAACGACGATATCAAAGACAATGTAAAGGGGTCATTCTGCCAGACTCTCCCAAGCATGCATTCAAACAGCCCGCCCCACCTGCTGATTTCCAGGGCTGGCACGCACGCTCCAGGCCGGTAGGTGTGTCGGCCCCGGTACTCCTTGGCAAAGATCAGGTCCTGCAGGCTGGCCTGTCCGTCTAGGATCTTTTGGAACTGTCGCTGGACATACTGCTTGATCTGCGACACGTCCCGCGTGGTGAAGAGAATCTTCAGGGCCTTCTCTAGAATCTAGAAGAGGGAAAAAACACAAATTACAGCGAACTGAAATACTTAATCCAATTTCCAGCAGTGTGACACAGTCTTCTACACAATGCAACAGATTTTTTAAACGAGTGTCAAACCTTGAAGAGAAGTCCCATTTCAATATGCTGTCCTTTTGACAATCCGTCCTCTTTGACATTACTTGATGATTGTATTGGGGATCTAGAATAAAACCCCCAGATCTTCTCAGAATAAACATATGTCATTGGCAATAACTGGAAAATCTTCCAAGTTGAAATGTGTTGAACCTTCACAAATTTGCAGAGTTTCAGCTTTAATGCCAAGTGAGAATTTGTCCTTAGAAATATTTCAGCGATATTTTCTTTAGTAATCAGCAACCAAACTCAAAAAATCCAACAAGCACTCTCTCTAGAAGCCACGCTTCCTCTTTTCTTGGGGGAAGCAGGGCTGGTAGGAGGGTCGGGGACAGTCTACCTTGCCGACTGCAGGGCAGGAGTCCCTGCGCACTGTCTCGATGCCCTTGGCGTCAAAGTCCGGCTCCACCTGGTCAGGCGACTCGTAGCTGTAGCCAACATAGCGCTTCTTGGATTGCAGAACACAAGGGTGATAAACCTACGAAGTACCAAAAAGTGATGAACCTGGAATCAGGGAACTGAGTTTAGTTTCACTCTGATGAATATTTCCTATGTTTGTAGCATCTGAGACATCAGTGTGCCTAAAAATCAGACACCATTTCCGAACACGGGCAGTATTCATGCGAGTAGAACGTACTCCTGGTAAACTTCAAAATGACGTTGGAATAGAGCAGGCTGTAACAACTGAAGAACACATGTGTGAGCCTTGACATGAAATTATGCTTGCAGGTCATGCCAGAAGATGTTAGACTGGATGGTCTGACATCAGACCACATCAGACCATCTCCCACTGTCCAATGAGAATTACTTGTAATATGACTCCTAAGGAATTCTGTGCTGTCTCCTGGAGGTATTCCTCACTTGGTCATGAGCATGAACATAATAAGACAACACTCGAGATCTTCATCCTATGCCACAGATCTTACACAGGTGACCTTAAAGCACTGACACTGGAAATGGGAACAAAATGGGCAAGTACCCCAGAAGCATTCACATAGAAACCAATAATAAAATTCAACGTACCTTTTCCAGCTTGAGTTTGACCGGCTTAGGGTTGGCTGCGGTGACAGCATCTCGGATTTCTCTTCCGACTTCAAAGGCACGCTCCTTGCTTGCTCCTTCCACCAGCACAAACATACTGTAGACAAGGAGGAGCAGCACACGGAATCTGTACTTTCATGTGTCCCATTTTGACATTGCCACACCACACAATTTCAGCGACTTAAGGATTTTACAGCCTTTTAAAAGTACCTGAAGGAATCCTATGGCAATTCCATGAGGAATACTGTAAGAGCTTCTCAGGAAGCCCACAACAGTCCCACAGCAATCCTTTGACCTTCCCAAAGGAATCCTATGGCAATTCCAAGGGGAATACTATAAGAGCTTCTCAGGAAGCCCACGGCAGTCCCACAGCAATCCTTTGACCTTCCCAAAGAAATCCTATGGCAATTCCAAGGGGAATACTATAAGAGCTTCTCAGGAAGCCCACGGCAGTCCCACAGCAATCCTTTGACCTTCCCACAGCAATGCTATCGCAGTGCCAAGACAGACTAAAGCAGTCCAACAGTAGTTCTATGGCAGTTCCACAGGAATCCTACAGCAGTCCCATTGCAAAGCTTAAGTCTGTATCAACCACATACAATATCGACGGTGCTTATATCACAGGAATCTCATGGTGGTCCCACTCAACTACAATGGCAGTTTCAACTGAACTCCTACGGTATTAAAGGAGTCAGTTGCCAGTTAGTTGCACCCACCTGTCCGTATCGCCATAAACCACCCTAGCTCCCCATTTCTTTGTGGTCTCTACCATATGGATGGCTCTCTCCAGCGTCTCTCGACTCTTCCTAACCACACTGTCCCCGACCTATCAGGAAGAAACAGGAGGAAAGCCATTTTGAAAACACCTCCACTCTGTGGAAATAATGCAGTCTTCAAGAAATCTTCTCCTGTTAAAGATACGTCTATGAGACACTCATCGAGTCAAGGAATAAGTTCAGGGTTTGTGCTTGACAGTTGAGAGGTAACAGTTTAAATATCCTTGAAATCTCCCACTGATTTTAGCTCTGAGAAAGAAATTAGTACACACAAAACAGTGGGAATCACACAACTTGACAGGAAAGCAGATCCCTGTTCATAAGAAGTGAGTTCCAGCACTTTTAAAACCGTATCAATTCAAGCCTGACGGTTCTGCGTAATGCAGACCATCTGTTGGGGTTGGACTCGGACTCGGACCTACCTCGATGCAAGGCATGCGACCGGAGAAGTTGGCCGATGTGTAGCCATAGGTGACGTTAGCAATCAGCTTGAGGGCTAATTGGCGGTTGTCTAACATGCGATGTAATGACTACGAAGCAACAAGAACAAATCAACTGACAGGTTTATCACCTAATAACACAGAGATAAGCCAGGTAAACACATAAACATAAAATGCATTTGTATCAGGTATTTGGTTAATACTTTCACATTTAATTTTTGGGGAGGCCATTTCCCCCCGAAAAGGTGGGTAAGAATATAACTGACCACTCCTGGCTTGAAATAAACTTGTTGGGGTCATTACAAAGAGTGGTCAAGAGACTGAGGGAGTGACATTATTCGGGCAGGTACTACACTCATTGGCATCCTCATCTATTTGAGATGCACTTCATTTTGGCAGATCACAACATCCTATTGGCTGAAGAGGCTTTTAACCTGCGATTGGCACCACTCTAGTTGTGGCTTTTATAATTCCTTCTTGCTGGCTCTTAACAGAAACACTGGCTGCCCCCTCGGGCATGTGAGTGACCAGAAGAGGTTCAGTTACAGTCCCTCGGCTGCACAAACACGTGTTAGTGGCCTCACTGCCAGTACATGCATGTATATGCACACACCATGCATCTCTGGTCACAAGATAAGTCTAGGAGTAATCAGTCCAAGAAAGAGGCC